CTCCTCTGCTGCTTTCTCAACCCTGGACGTACAGATGCCACCAATACTATCAAGGGAACAGTTTTTGCACCCGTTAGGTAAACCCGTCGCCAGAGTCCTCGTGGGCAACTCGGGGCAGCGGGGACATCCCTTCTTCCCACCGGGTGGTGGCTTTTCCAGCCTTTTTCTCAACACACAACCTCAGAGCGAGCTCTTTGTCCTCTCATGCTATTAATTCTTTGCCCTCATGCCCCAAATCTTTCACAAGCTCTAATTGTAACTAATTAATACAAAGCAGGACGGAAGTAATGAAAAACTATTTTAAAGATCAAAAATAACTATGCTGATGTAATTATTAGAAACACACAAGTTTGAGAAAGAGTGGAACTCTCTAAGCGGTTTTTGTATCTGAAGGCAGGAGCATTCCCAAAGTGCATCCACTGCTGGTCCCTCCGCTCCAGTTCATCCAACAGCAGTGGGTGGACGGGGCAGTGCTCAGGTCCTCCTCCGGATTTAATGCAGCTGAGCTCTCCCCTCACCGGCAGGTTCAAGCTCTGACTCAGAGCCTTGACCCCCAGCATGTTCCCCTCACTCCAAGAAGGACACTGAGGTGCTGGAGCGTGTCCAGAGAAGGGCAACGAAGCTGGTGAAGGGCCTGGAGCACAAGTCTGATGAGGAGCGGCTGAGGGATCTGGGGCTGTTTAGCCTGGAGAAGAGGAGGCGGAGGGGAGACCTCATCGCGCTCTACAACTACCTGAAAGGAGGTTGTAGCGAGGTGGGGGTCGGTCTCTTCTGCCAAGTAACCAGCGATAGGACGAGAGGAAATGGCCTCAAGTTGCGCCAGGGGAGGTTTAGACTGGACATTAGGAAAAACTTCTTTACTGAAAGAGTGGTCAGGCCTTGGAACAGGCTGCCCAGGGAAGTGGTGGAGTCCCCATCCCTGGAAGTATTTAAAAGACGTGTAGATGTGGCGCTTAGGGACATGGTTTAGTGGGTATGGTGGGGTTGGGTTGACAGTTGGACTCAATGATCTTAGAGGTCTTTTCCAACCTTAATGATTCTATGGTTCTGTGTTCACCTGCCAAACTGCTCTGATGCCATGTGCATCCCACAGAGACCCAGGAAGGGAGAACGTGCATCAGGAACCAAGTTAAGCTACAGCATTCTTCTCTTCAGAAATGTCTTTCCAGCTTTGGTGTGTCGGCCTCTGCATTCGTCCTTGGCCAACTCCTCGCCGAGCCGTGCACAGTCCTCTCTGCCCCGGCCGCCTGGCTGCTCTGCTCCCCCCACAGACCGTGCTGCCTAAACCCAGCGCAGCCTCACGGGTGGTCACACAAGCCCTGCGCGGCGACCGCCACTGCGACCCATCAGAAGACTTCTTGCTCCCCTTTTCCTCACCCTCCTCCTGCCAGTACTGGTGGCAGGTTTTCTCTCCTCCTCCCCTTAGGAGCTACCACCCTCCACACCGGCAGAGCCCACAGCTTACCTTTGTGGGCGAGGGAACCGGAGGTGCCACCGGAGAGGTCAGGGAGGGAGTTGGAATAACCGGGGCCACCAGCGGCGTCTGAGCAGGCGTGCTGGGCTCGCTGCTGCTCATCTCCCCGCCGGAGGCAGAGGCTGAGCCCGAGGGCCCAGCCGTGCCGCTGGATGCTGCAGAATTGGGGGTCCGGGTGGGCTGCAAAACAAGACGGTCAAGGGAGAAAGTCAGATGAGCACGTTTCACGGGAGACGATGCTTCCACGACCGGTCCATCTCCCTGCACTCTTCGACACCACTTCAGCCACTGTTTTCCTTTCACCAGGGTATTTCTCCAGGCCAACCACTGACTCCCAGACTCGCATTTCCAGCACAAATGAAACCCAGAGTAAAATTTTGGAGGTGCTTTAGACTCTCACACACAGTTGGTATTTACCTGCTGGGACAGGGACAGAGGGGAGCTGGGACTGACCACAGCCCAGCCTCAACTGGGGAGCTTCCCTCGGGAGAGGGCTGAGTCAGGCACAACCCTCTGTTTTGGCAGAGAGCACGGTGACAGCGGGGACATCAACACCAAAACAGCCCTCTCTGTACCCAGACCGGCAGCATGCCGGGGACCGGTGCCGCTGCAGAGACTCCCCGCAGCGTGAACGCTGTGATCTTACGCTGCTCCGGGAGGAGCCTGGCTCGGCCAAAACTCAGATAATCAGTTGTTGAAGGGAAAGGTGAAATTTTATTACACCACTGACATAGTTAAAACACCAAAACGGATCTTTTTCTGAGCACACAAGCCCTGCTTCAGGCCTGAGACAGGAGGAGTCCGTCTCTCTCTCCTGCAGTAGCAGGGACAATAAAAGATTGCCAAAAAAAACTATGCTCCGTTTATTTCCTAGCACTGCCCCGTCTACCTACGCTGCTGCTGCAGGTACAGACCCATCTCCTTGCTCTTCACGGCAAGGCCAGCTCACACCCCGAGGTTCTGGGACATGAGGGAAGACCCTGCCTATCAAGCGAGCATGTCGGGGGGGATGAGAGCAGGGACTAACGAGGGTCCTCGGTAGTGTTTGCAGAGTGGAAACACGCTCCGAGGTTTTAGTGTTCCAGCTCCAGAGGATGAGACAGCAAAACCTCAAAGCACATCGAGACGGGAGCGGGGAATTTTTTGCCCCTGTCCATCCTCCACATCTGGAAACACATCTGCTGCTAGGCATTTGCAGGAGTCTGAGTCAGGTGCTGCTGTGCCCACGCACATGTGCCAGTGCCACCGGCAGCTTGTTGGGGACACGCTGCAGCAGGCGTCCGAGTCTGCATCCTCTGTCTGCAACTAACCCAGCTGGGGGGACAGAAGCACTGAATTTAGGGGAACAGAAGGAGAAAATGAAAGAGCAGCAAGAGTTCACCAGAGTCCAGGGAAAACCAGTGGAGCTTGGAAGAACCAGAGCAGCAGAGAGCTGCTTCGTCGGTGCTTACGAGGCTGTTAATTGCTGGCTGGGAACCCCCCAGTGAGGCTGGCCATGTAACCCAGGCGACCAAGGGAAGCCGATGTCTGAAGGAAAGCACCAGGTCCATCAGAAACCTCTGCTGTTCTCCTCACGCACCTGTATTTCTGGAGCACTCACCTCTGTGGCACCTAATGCTGTGTAAATTAATTTCCTGACTTTTTATTTTACTCCTTGAGATTGGCTTTCTGGTGCATTGCAGTTTTGCAAGGCGCATGGCTCACCCCAGGCTGGCCGGGCACATGCACGGGCACAGCCGGGGTGGGCGCAGCACCTACGCCTCTGCACCCGCCTGCTAAAGCGCCAGCAGGACGTAGAAACCAGGCGCTCGCTTAAAAAAAAAAAAAAAAAAAGACTCCTAGCCTATTTTAGGCAAATCTGAGCTAACTCGACTGCAATAGGTAAAACGCCCCACGGACGGGCAGGCAAGCGCAGCCTTCCCCTCCCAGGTGCGATCCCGGGCTCTCCCAGGGACGGTGCGAGCCCCTGCCTGGGAACAGTCTCCGTGGCACCAAGCCACACGCGCTATCTCCAAGAAATACACTGCTCGAAACAAGGACGGTGTTCTTGTTCCTGCTGCTTTAGGGATTAAAAACCCTTCACAGAGTGAGCCTTCGGCTTCTGTGGGGACAGAGCAGCATCGACAGGGACACACCTGGTACGGTTCCACTGCTTGTCACATCTGAAGAGCTAGAAACCTTTGGAGACCCACGACTTGGCCTTGGCAGTCAGGGTCAGGGAACGTCCAAGGGACATATTTTCTTCCAGAAAGGGCCAAAATGCAGCATGGCATCTCCTAGAGCCCTCTGCACACCCTTCACTAATGGTTCCTGTTGAAAATCCATTCCCAGGAACCCAGGAAGGTCCAAGCCGCCAGAGAAAGCAGCCTGCCAGCTGACCCTGTCTGATGTGGACACATCTGTGAGCCCCACCAGAACAGGATGCAACGGCTTGAGAGGGGCCCTCAACGCCGCAGAGTGCCAGAGCAGCCGGTCGGCACTGCCAACAGCTCTGATCTCAACACGCGTGCAGGGGTGTCTTCCACCCCATTTAATTCTTGCACAGTGTAGATGTGAGGCCAAAGGAGTAGGAGGAGGTCACATAGAACATTCACTCCTCTCCAGCACAGGTTGCAGAGAACATAAATCAAATGTGATCTGCTGAGAGCTCTCCAGGACTTGCCCTGGTAAAGGGTAAGCTCCCAGCTGGGATTGGAAACTGGCTGAAAATCCAGACCAGCACGCAAAAGCTGCTTACCTTGAGCTCACTTCTCTGCCTCACTGCAAATGCATCACATGGACCCACAGCAAAATCCTTGCCGTGTCTCAAGAGTTTGGGGAGGAGACATTTTAGAGGAAATTTTATCCTGCAGAAGGAGCGGTGGACTCTCCTCCTTACACTGCACTCATATACTTCTGTCACACTTTCTTCTTCCCCATGAGGTCCTACCTCAGCCTGGGCTCTGGCCCTACAATGCCAAAATGACAGTTAACAAGGTATTTTTCGGAGGGGGAAGCTAGATGCCTGGCATCCCAGTTGCCCTGGGACTGAATGAATCCGTTGCTGCCCTGGTTTGAGTTTCCTGTACAAGCCAGTGAAAATAAAGCCCTCCCTGCAGTGTACCCCTTCATAGAAGAGGAAAAAAAAATTGTTCACCATTTACAAACCATAACTAGGCTATTAGAGAGTTCTTTGAGGATTTCTCTCCCTCTTTGCTCCCCTCCAACCATGTGCCCCTTTGCAAGGCAAGTCCCGTGGCTAGGGGCAGACCTCAAAACGTGAGCGATTCTCTGTGCGGAAATCAGTAGAGCCCTGGATGACACCTCTTGGCTCTTACCTCTCTCCTCCAACAGACACCCTCAAGATCCTCCAACAGACACCCGCAAGATCCGGCTGAAAAGTACCCCACGTAAGCCAGGAAATGGCTGTCAGTGAGAAGCAAGTAGTAGCATTAACAGGGACACCAAGCAGCGTGCTCTGCCAGCGTGCTCGACTGGGCATTACTGCACCGCTTTTACGCTCCACTCCATTAGATGAGCTCTGGCTAAGAGCACAAAGCTTTTCTATAGACATTTTGCCCAGGTAGGTTGTCCCCAGCGATTTAGACACGCTGCAGAGGAGCACATGGCTCCTGTGAGCTCCTCCAGGCTCTGCACGACGAGGTGGAAGGACAAGAGAAAACGCACGTTGGGGTCAGCACTCACTGAGCTCGTATTTAACACGGAGGGGTGCTCAGTGCCCCCGGACCGCAGCTGCTCACCTTGGGCCGGCGGGCGGTGGTCTGGAGGGCAACGGGAGTGGAAGGCAGAGGAGGAGAGACATTCATACAGGGACAGACAGGAGCAGAGATACAGACCGCAGCAGCGCAGCAGCAGATGCAGCAGAGAACAAGGTAAAGGAAACAAAAGACATCACGGCAATTAGTGTGCATGGCATCAGGTGTAGCTCATTAACCCACGCTCCCAGGGCAGCTCCAGGTGGAACCCTGCTAGCAGAGCTCCTGCAGAAACAGAGGAACAGAGCCCGGCGGCAGCTCAGCCTCCCGGTCAGGTTCTCTCGCCCAGAACAGAGATCGCTCATCGTGCTCCAGCCCCGCTTCTCCCCTTTAGCCAGGCGCAGGGCCACAGAGCCGGGGAGAAGGCCGACCGCCTGAATCCGGCACCTGGAGCCAACCCCAGACTCCAGCAGACACCCTGGGGCTGGGTGCACCATTTGCTTCTAAGAGATCTTCAGCTTCAAAGGCAAACTCTGGGCTGCCCGGGGTCAGCCTGGCAACGCGCAGCCACCTTGCTGCTCAGGGTTCACAGGTTCTGCTGACAAGGGGTGGGTTTGACTCCACACACCTTTTCAAGAGGTCACTTGAGTGTGAGGTTGAGGGGGGGTATTTTTAAAAAAATATTTTCCCCTCACCCCTTTGTTTTTTGAAGGGGCCAGAGCATCGCCAAACCAGCTGCCCACAGAGATGCTGGAGCCCCCGGGCTCTGTTTCCCTTTAGTCATAAAACTCGCAGGGACAACATGGAGCTTTTTCTCAAACACTTCCATATTTTCTTTGCATTTCTGGAAATAAATGCATCCATCGACCTCAAGGCAGGACTCCCCCATCCCCCAAATACACCCACCGCTTGCGCACGCAGCACAGCAGTAACACCACCACCACCGAGTCGCTGCTCCCACGTCGAAAGGTGGGGAGGCCACTGCGTCTCCCAGCACACCCTTGCTGTGCACTTATACCTCAGCAGGGCAATTTTCCTGTTAACAGATACTCCACTCATAACCGCAACAGCAGGTAACAGCGAAGCCGGCAGCACCCTTCTGCCAGCCGGCAGCGGGGGAAGCTGGAGGGGCGGCGCTCGGGGCGGGCAGGGAGCCCCCGGGCGCTGGAAGCTGTCGGTCCGGGCAGAGGGAACCGCTGGCAGGGGCATCTGCTCTCCAGCTGCAGCTTTAAAACGCTGGAGCACGTTTTAAAGCTCTTCACATTCTGCTTCATTTTTTATTCCATTACCTAATCCACAGCTTAAAGTAACTGAGAACAGAAACGATCAATAAAAACGCTGCCATATGACACTCACTCCCCAAGGATGCAGTCATGAGCGAGACATTTGGTCGTACAAAGCTCATCAGCAAACGCTCGGCCCCCCCGTCTCAGACCAGCGCAGCATCGCATCCACCACCACAGCTTCTCTCTGGTATTCAGAAGCAATGGCCTTATTCCCACCCAAGGCTTTGAGAAACCAGCTGAGAGATCTTAC